TGTCTCGGGTTCGCTCCCCGACGCCCTTGCTCCGGTCACCGTGCGAGGTGTTGCTTTGCCTCCGCAGCAACCCTGCCCGTGGCTCGCCCTGCTCTCCCGGCCTTCGCCCTGCCTGCCAGAGGCTGTCAAACCCCCCGGTCCTGCTGGTATCGGGCCAGACCCCCTCCTGAACCCCCCTGTTTTCCAGAGAGGTCAGCGGGACGCTGCTGGCCGGCAGCGCTGAAACCGGACACGCCGCCATCGCTTTCGTCCTAAAGCTTTTCCCCCCGATGTGTGGGTGTATGTGCCCACACCCGAATCGGTCGGTGCTCTAGAATATCTGTGTTTTGCTGCTGGAATCTGAGGAGGGGAAAACATCTCGTGCTGCCACGCTCACTGTCCTGCCGCTTCTTGCCTGGTTTGACCGTGGGCAGGCTGGAAAGGACGAGTGGGCTTCCCTTTTTCTCTTGGGTAAACCTGTCAAACACTTGGGTTGAATTAGAGTGATCCCAGGTCTCCCTCGGGCTCTTTGAACCAAAATCTTGTGTTTTGAGGTGGGAAGCACAGCCGCTGCCGTGCCCGGTAGCCAGAACTAGATTCAGCAAGGTGAATCGGTAAGCCGGGCTGACGGAACGCAGGTCACAAAGGTGGATTTTTTTTTCCTCCAGCGCTCTGCAAAACTTCATTTTAATTTGGTGAACGCACGGTAGCTGCTTTGACATTGGGCTGCTGCTCGTCAGACGGGTTGGGGATATGGAAACTGGCCAGTTGGGTCACCTCCAGCCTTGGGTCCTGGCTCTCGTGGGAGGAGCTGGGTGGAAAGGGCAGCTCCCAGAAGGGCTGGCTCCACGTGCCAGTGCTTCCCCAGAGATGATTTTACTCCAGCACTTTCCCTTGGGCTGCGGCTGTCGGTTGGATGTGTTGAGGAGCATGGTTCACCCCAGGCTTCCCTGGACACGCGCCCCACCAAGAGCTGCAAGGTGGAGGCTGCTGGGGACCTTTGGGAGGTCCTGTGCTGGCTCTGGGTTTCTTTGTCGGGTTCTCTGGGTAGGGGAGAGCCCCTCTTTCTGCCTTTTGACTGCGTCGCCCTTCTTGGGTCTGAGCTTTTAAGGAGAAGCGATGAAGCCGTCTGTCCTGGAGCCCACGTCCTGAGTGCTTTGCCCCAACATACCTCTGCTTGGCGAGGGGTCTTCCCTGGAAACGGTTTCTTCCCAGTTTTATCCTGGTGCATGTAACAAAAACCATCGAGGAGAAGACCTTGGCCAAGCAGAGTGGTCACGGGGTGAGTAACGCAGCAAAAATTGAAGCCAAGACCTTCTACATGGGAGAGAGACTAACGGGAAAAGCTTCCAGGCTGGGTCAGCGTGATGAGAGCTGTCCTCCTGCAGCGTGGAGGAGTGTGCCTGGCTGGACTGCGTCAGCTCGACCTGAAGGAAAACGTGACATTCAGGGTTAAAATCCAGCTGGTAATAAAATTTTTTCCAGCACCCTTCTGGACACAATGCTTTAGAGTGTTTTTCTTTCAACTGGTGTGACCGGCTGCATCGCTGCAGATGAGAGGTTGAAGGGACAAAGTGTCCAACTCCTGCTGGAATCTGAGTTTTGTAGAGAGAGTTTTCCTGTTTAAAACAGACAAAAAGAGGATTATCGGAGGAAGAATCAAAAAATACATCAAAGAATATTTTATGGATTTATTCTTGGAAAAGGAGTAGATGTTGTTGGCTGGGTGCTAAAGAGGGGAGCACTGGGGGAACCTGATGCCTTACACTGTTGGTCCGGGCTGGTTTCACCAGCAGACGTGCCTTATTTTGCACGAAGGTGCCGATATAAAAACGTGCGGGTGGCTTTGATGCGCAGCAGCTCGTTTGAGGCTGGCGTTGGGTACCCTGCCGAGCACACAGAATCACAGAATGTTAGAGATTGGAAGGGACCTCGAAAGATCATCTAGTCCAATCCCCCTGCCGGAGCAGGACACCCAGATCAGATCACACAGGAACGCATCCAGGCGGGCTTTGAATGTCTCCAGAGAAGGAGACTCCACACCCTCTCTGGGCAGCCTGTTCCAGTGCTCTGTCACCCTCACTGTAAAGAAGTTTTTCCTCATATTCAAGTGGAACCTCCTATGTTCCAGCTTGAACCCATTGCCCCTTGTCCTGTCACTAGATGTCACAGAGAAGAGCCTGGCTCCATCCTCCTGACACTCACCCTTTACACATTTATAAACATTGATTAGGTCACCCCTCAGTCTCCTCTTTTCCAGGCTAAAGAGACCCAAATCTGCTTTTCGCCGTCGTGTCAGGGACGATGACGGTGCCATGCTGGCAGGGATGGGGGAGGCAGACCCGGCCATGCCGAGCGTCTTGAGCAAAAACTGCATTTCCCAGCCGTCGGGGACTTGGCCGTGGGAAGGGGTGGATGGATTCACTGGAACTAAAAACTGATCCTAAGCTCAGATCCCCTTGCTCGGGGCTGGTGGGGGGTGGAGGGGGGTTGTCTCTGATCTGCGCTGTCCTGCAATAATTTCTAACACAGTTTTCCCTTCTCTCCCAACAGGAACTTGCGTGAGGCGACAGGACAAAGATGCTTAACTTAAGGACTTGTGCGGCAAAGCTGAGGCCGTTGACGGCCTCGCAGACTGTAAAGACAATTTCCCAACAGAGGCCGGCAGCACCCAGGACGTTTCGACAGATCAGGTGCTACAGCGCACCGGTGGCTGCCGAGCCTTTTTTGAGCGGGACTAGTTCAAACTACGTGGAGGAAATGTATTACGCATGGCTGGAAAATCCCAAAAGTGTACATAAGGTAAGGAGCAACCTTGTCAGGATATCGCCTTCGCTTCGGTCTCTGTGTGTCTGAGCAGTGCGTTCAGGTAAGTGCGCACATCCCAAGGAGAATTGAGTTCAGCCAGATGGTTGAGGATGGTCCTTCTGCCTCGCTTCGCCTGAAAGAAACATCAGCAATTCCTCGAGCAAGAGCCAAGAGGAGCTTCTCCATTCGAGAGGGAATGCCGTGGGCTTGTGGGACACGGGCAGCATCCTGGATCACAAGCGGATACAAGGAATGGCTTTTCCTGGGAATCCACCTTTAACGAGCTCCCAATGCTTTATTTTTTCCAGCTTGTCGGAGGGTGTATTCTGGAGCGGAGGGTGGGAGGGAGGCAGGGAGGGCATTCTTCACATCTTGACTGCTTTCCTTTTTGCTTCGGGCCGGGGTGGTGTTCCGCGGTGGGGTAGATGGGCTGTAGCTCAGCTTGAGTTGGAGCTTGTGTGCATAAAGCCAGACTGCTGCTCCGCAGCCTGGGGAGGGGGGCTCCGTCTCCCCACCAGCTGCTCCCCAACTTAAAACTGGGAAACCCGCCCAGCTGTGGGCAGTACGCGCAGGGGCCTGTCTCCATCAGAATTCCTGCAGCTCCTCCAGCGAGGGGAAGCCAGCTCTTTATCGCAGAGTCCAGCAGGTGAGGGCTCAGCTGGGAAGAGGATTTCTGAAACCCAGCTGCATTTTTTCCCCATCCCCAGTGTTTCACAAGGAAAATGTTCCTCTTGTGACTAAGTCTCAGCATTATCTAGGGGGTTTTTAAGGCGGTTTCATACATGTCCTGGTGTAGAGCAGGGATTTTCTTTATTCAGTAGCACATGAGCAGTCTGCAAACCAGGACACGATGGTTCAACGAGCAGTTGCGGGTGAGTAAGGAATCTCATGCCCCGATGCTTGTGTCAGCGTTGAGCGTGTTTTCCATGGCACCGATCCCACGCATCCCAAACGCGCAGCCTGTAGGGCGCTGTAAAGGTCTTAGGGCAGGATCAAAGCCGGATTTTCACAAATTTGGGTTCTGAGGCCAGACCTCTGCTTCTTCTCTGGTCCTGTCTCGTCTCTAACGTAGCCCCTGTGGCTGCAGCAGCAGCCTGTGGGTAGGCAGTGGACACAGTGCTGTACCAGAGTCCTCACACATGCCCGGCTCAAGAAACTGGGGGGAATTTAGGTTGGAAGGAGCCTCTGGAGCCTCTGCCCCTGCATGGCTGGCTTGGAGGTGGCATTTGGCTTCACAGCCAGACCAGGTCCCTCGGGGCCTCCTGCGGTCAGTTTTTGAGCGCCTGCAGGGGTGAAGCTCCCACCACCTCGTCAGGCCCCCGGGCTGATGTTTGTGGTGAAGAATTGCACGAGTGCGTTAGTCAGCCCTGGAAATCAACGTCCCTTGAAGGACTTTTAGGTGCTTAGGGAGCGGTGCAGGAGTCAATACAAGATTTTGCCTCTGGTGCAGCAGGAAAATCAGTGTGAAAATGAAACAGGGTCTGAATGCCAGGAAGCAAACCTGACACTGGAGATGTAAGAAGCAAGTCTCAGGGACGGCTTTGTAACCAAGACCAAGCTGATGTCCTGCTGGGCAGAGAGGCGGCTGGACCAAGGGGGGTGGACTGGGTGGTCTTTGAAGGTCCCTTTCCAATCCAAACCATCCTGCGATCCCATGAAATCCAACTCCAGGCCCTAAAACTTCTGATGGGGGTTGATACCTGAGGCTTGGCATGGACTTTGCTCCCGGGCACACTCGTCCCTCCTGGGTGGATCCCACCTTCTTCCAGTGCCCCTTTACCAGGATCCCTTCCCAGCTCCTACCTTCACCCCTTTCTCCTCTCCACGATTTTTCATGGCTCACCCTGTCCCCACTGGGACACCGAGCCACCACGGTGGGATCAGGGTTATGGCAAGACCTTGCAAGACTTCCACTGTCCCCCCCGGTGCCATGCCGAAGCGGCAGTGGACCGTGTCCCCCCCGTCCCTGCTAAGCTTTGGCCTCTGTCCTGTTAGATGTTGGGTCAGATCTGAGGGTGGAGTTCCCAGAAGAAGCCAGGCTGTCCTAAGGACTTGGCTGCGGCTGATCCGCTCCCTGCACAGAGCAGAGCCAGGCTGTGCGGTGCTGCTTTTTGCTGGTGGGGGTGAGACCTTCCACCGGGGAAGAGCTGGGGTTGCTTTGCTGTTGTCGCCAAAAGCCGAGGAGAACTGCAGCTGGCACAACCGTCTCGGCTGAGCAAAACGAGTTCACTTCCTCCGCACAGACACTGGTGGTGTAAACTGCAGAAAATACTGAAGTGTTTGTTTAGATTAGGGAAGATTTAAAAAAAAAAACTATTTTAGGCTTTTTTGTGCATGCAGTCCTTCCGCTGACCTCCAGTTTCTGAGTCTGAGGAGCAAATAAGAGCGGAGCTGGGGAAAGAGGAGGCGAGGGTGCGGGGGGTCGGTGCTGCTGGCTCCTGGGACACTTCCCCCAGGAGCGGCGACGCCTTCGTCCTGCCTGTGGGGCTGAGCGATGCTCGGCACAGCCCAGGACCGCAGACACCTTGCTTGCTTCGGGGCAGGTGGCCCAGCCTGGGTTTGGCAGGAGCTTCACTTGAGAGAAATGTTTGGGTTTCATCCCCTGTCTTCAAAAGTGAGCACTGCCAAGAACTGAAGGTCCTTGCTGATGTTGGGGACGAGGTGATGTACAGCTGTCGGGGTTCTGAGATCCGACGAGAGCCGGTGTGCGCAGGGTTGGGTGTTCGAGCCCCATGCTGGGCGCCAGCAAGGACTGTTGTGGTTTTACTGTTCCTAGCCAACGATCCTGGAGCAGGGAGAGTCCCGAAACCGCAATCCCGGAATGGAGATCAGAGCCCAAAGTCCTGAAACCACAATCCCGGAATGGAGATCAGAGCCCAAGTGTCTGAGAGACCGAGATCACCCTGAGAGAGGGGTGACCCGGAGCAAGAGAGAGAACTTCTGGTCAGTTCCTCACCCCTATACTGGGCGTATGGAACAGACCATCGGCCAGTTTGGTCTCAGTCCTAACCCTGAGGTCGAATCCTGGGCTGGTCACTGGGGCTGTGCTCCCTCCCAGCTCCTCCTGCCCCTGCAGACACGGGCAGTCCTTGAGTGTCCTGGCAGCAGCTCTGCCCATCAGTGTGTGATCAGCTTCTGCTGAGCCCAAACCCAACAGCCTCACACCCGCTGCTGGGACGAGAGTTCACTCTGTCCCAGCCCAGACCAGGACAGCAGGGCACAAACTGGTCGATGGCTGTGTGACCCCCTGCACCCAGCAAAGGTTCCCTGCTGTAGATTTGGTTTGGGTTCCTCCTCTTCTAGCTTCTAGCTCTGAACACAGCTCCCCACCCTGCTAAAGCCGGAGGTGCTGCCTGGTTTGCTGACCCCGCGGAGCAGGGCTGGCTGGTGCTTTCTGTCCCCTGGAGCCCGCGGCAGGAGAATGAGGAGCCGGGACACAGCCGGAGCTGGAGGTAGGAGCCGTGTCTCCCTCCTGCACCTTGCAGCCCGGAGCAGCCCCAGCCCAGTTTGAGGTGCCCTGGAAGTGGGGGGAGATGTTGCCCCTCTGCCCTTGCCCCGGGTGCCTGGGACCTTCTCCAGGAACCGGGTCTGACAAAGGCAGTGAAGGGTGCTGGTTTCACTGGGTGAGCTGGTTTTGGGGCTGTTCTCAGCAGGGAAGCCTGCGGTGAGCTCTGCTCTGGGCTGCGCTCAAAATCCCTCTAAAGCCTGAACTATCCAGCTGTGGTCCGCCGGCTCTCCCGTCGTGCTTTGCCAGCGTGGAGGGAAAGCCGGGCTGGGCTGACGCCGTGTGCCATGGCGGGTGTGTGGCCGTGGGATGGTCACGGCAGGGACCTGGGGTTGTGAGCATTTAGGGTGCTGAGACATGGGGGTTCCCTGTGCACGTAGGAGCCGGGAGATGCCGGCTTTGAGTCCACTTTATAAAAATAAGCCAAAGCTGAGTGCTCCTACACCTTATGTATACACACCTTACATCCTATATGTGTGCACCTTGTACCCTGTATGTGCATCTATAGGGTGTAAGCAGTGGAGGAGCACTCGCAGGGCTGCCATGGGCATGGAGAGGGTCGGGGGGGATGACCCCATGAGCTGTATTCGTGCTGTCGCCTTCGGCAGGTGCTGGCTCAGGGCAAACCCCTCCAGGGATAAAGTGGGATAATGCCGGTGGGGCTGCGCAGGAGCCACGGGACACATGAGCTCTGGAGGCACCTCCGTGGGTCACCAGAAACCCCCAGGGCTGGCCCTTGAATACCTTCGGATTCGAAACCACGTCAGCAAGCTGAAAGCTGATGTTTTTATAGCGCTCATCAGGGCCACAACCTTGGCCAGGGGTGAAGGCTGCGGTCAGGTGCCTGAAAGGCTCTGTAAGGACGCTGGGCAATAAAACATCAGTGAAAGCGCCTGAGCTGACCCAGCTGGTGCTGCACCTTGTTTGGAGAGCTTAAAATTGGACGCTGGGCAATAAAACATCAGTGAAAGTGCCTGAGCTGACCCAGCTGGTGCCGCACCTTGTTTGGAGAGCTTAAAATGAACTTTTTCTTTTGGAACAGAAGCCAGTTGCACCTCTGAGAGGTGAATATTGTGGAATGGTAGAAGGGAGGAGTTCACAAAGGCAACACCTCTGCCTCCCAGCTGGGTCCCAGTCCCCCCAGTGCTCCCTTTCTCATGCCTGTCTTTGTTTTCTAGTGCATTAAACACCCTTAAACCACCGACCGTGGTGGCCAGCCGGATTCCTCCCCATCCCAAGGTCACGAAGCCCATCCCGGAGCGCTTGCCCCTCCTGGCCCCTCGGTCCCTCATGCCTGTCTTTGTTTTCTAGTGCATTAAACACCCTTAAACCACCGACCGTGGTGGCCAGCCGGATTCCTCCCCATCCCAAGGTCACGAAGCCCATCCCGGAGCGCTCGCCCCTCCTGGCCCCTCGGTCCCCGTGAGCTCTGTGAGCCCAGGGAAGGGGTTTGGGCTGCTCTCGCTGGTGGCCGGGAGCGGGGATGGGACAAAAAGCAGCTCTCACTCCTTCCCTGCTGAAATTTCCTGGAGCAGGCTGCAGTCAGAACAGGCTTGAGTGTTTTTTGTCTTAGCTTTTTTTTTTTTCCCTTTTTATTTTTCTTCCCTTCCTTTGAGAGAACTATTGTTTATCAGTTATGGTGCCAAATTGTTCCGGATTTTATTTATGTTCATTCAGCATGACCTGTTTCTAAATTTAATCACCTTGCGCAGCCGTGTGATGGGGCATCTGCGTGAACCTGGGCTGGAAATAGCTTCCTGGGGCACGTGGTGGGCACTGCAGCCCGAGGGGCTCCTGGGAAGGGGCAGAGCTGGTGCTTCTCCGCCAAAGGTCATGTTTGCAGTCCCTCCACTCTGCTCCCAGGGTGCAAAAGCTGCTTTTTCTGCCCCAAACCACTGCTGGAGCTGCTCCGGAGGCTTGGTTTAAATACGCCGGGGGCGGCTGGGCAGTGCCTTGCCCGTCTCTGCGTCACCGTGGTTGGGTTCAGTGCTCGCCGCAGGCACGGGGTTGGGGTGTGCAGGGTGCTGAGCCCTGGGCTCCTGCTCCCGGTTGGTGCAGAGACTCTTGGGCTGAAACCAGCGTGTGAATCCAACAGGATTTGGTTGCCCGAGCTGGCGCTGCGGGTGCGTACGGGCACGCCGATGCTGCTCTGCCTTGCCCTCGTCCTTTGCTCGGAGCATATGGGAGTGGGACTGGAGGACGTGGCTCGGACTTTGCTCTGCTGGTCTCTCCCCTTCCCCAGCTCCGTCGATGCCTCTCTGAGTTACCAGATTAACCTGGGTTTGGTCTGGGAGGCTTCTGGGCTCTTCAGGCAGTGCTGGAGTAACCACAAAGTGACACCAAGTCTGTCCAGGGCTCTTTTGGGGGGTTTTGCTTTGTTTTGTGAGCACCTAGGAATGCCTCTGCATGGGAACAGAGGGGATATCTGCCTTGCCAAGGTCACAGGAGAGCTGACACAGGAATATCCGCATAGCGTTGGTGTTGGTGTAGCTGCGAGGATGGGGAAAAATGGGAGAGGAAACAGAAAAATAAAAAAGCTGTTGCTCGTGGAGGGCTGGAGAACACGGCTCACGCTGGGACTGGGGTCTCAGGCTGTTTAGACCATGGGAAAGAGGAAGAGGAGTATTTGATTACAGGGCAAAAATGCTTCTCAGAAAATATTGTGGGTATTGGGCAGTTTCCTGCTCTGGAGAGAAGGAAACAAGAGCCTGAAGCCCAGGCTGGGGCTCATTGCTCAGAGCAGCGGTTTCGAGAGCTGAGCCAGATACGGGGTGTCACCTGTGTCCTGTCCTGAGCACTGCTGCTGAGGGAGGGGGGGCTCTGGGGATGGTCCCACGCCAAAAGAAACAATCCAGATGGATGGGAAGCAGGCTAATGGCGTAACTGGAATAGCGGGAGAGCTGTAGTGCTCTCCTGTCCAAGGCGAGTGGGTGTCTTCAGCAGCGGCTGTGTGGAGCTGGGGCGCAGGGGAGGCGGCAGCTCTGGCCCCGGGTGATTTTACTGCCCACTGCGGCAACAGGGCTGGGACCCCAGTAACTGCGACTGGGGAGGGGTTTGGGTCATGGGTAGTGACCCTGTCGTTTCTCTTCTTTCCCTTTTCTTAGTCGTGGGACATCTTCTTTCGCAACGCCAACGCCGGAGCTGCTCCAGGCACTGCTTACCAAAGCCCCCCTCCACTGAGCACCAGCCTTTCCACCCTGTCCCAAGCCCAGTTCCTGGTTCAAGCGCAGCCCAATGTCGATAAACTGGTGGAGGACCATCTTGCAGTGCAATCTCTCATCAGGGCGTATCAGGTAAGGAGAGCGGCTTCGCGCCGAGGAGCGTGTCCTGCGCGGGCCGGGGCTGGTGCGCTTGGTGCACGTGTGTTGCGTGGATGTTGCACGGGCTGCGCCGGGCTGCCTGGTCTTTAACAGGAGCTGCTGATGCGTTGGGGCAGAAGCTCAGATGAGGCTTTACTGAACAATAGGAAGATTAAAGCTGTTGTCACCCAAACA